GGGGGGGCGAGGGCGCGGCGGGCGCGGCCACCAGCACCACCCCCCCGACGAGGGCGGCGGGCGCCGGGGCCGCGGCCTGGGGCGCGCCGCTGCCCACCGGGCTCTTGGGCGCGGGGTCCTGGGGGGCCGCGGCGGCCGCCTCCGCCGGAGCCTGCGGGAGGGTGGTGCTGGTGGAGGTGGTGGTGGTGGCCTCGCCCGCCTCGCTCATGCCGCCTCCTCTGCTCTCACTCGGGCACCTCGGTGGCGGTTGGTCGGCGGTTGGCGCGGCTGGAGGTCGCGGCGGCCGGGGCTCGCTCTCTGGGAGGCCGGTGGCGGCTCTCGCGGCGCAGGCGGCGGCGGCCGAGGTGGGGTCTCGCGGCGGAGGCGGCTCGAGCTCTCGGGCTGCGCGCTCGCTCTTGGGCTCCTCGCTCGATCTTACTGCCCCAAAAATGGCCCCGCACAAGTTTTTCTAGGCGGCGCACCGGCCGGGGAGGGAAGAGGGTGGGGAAAGTTGGCCCCGGAGTTGGGCACGACTCTCATTAGCATTTAAAGGCGCCCGATGCCCTTTCGAGCCACCAATCCGCCCGGGACGGGAGCGCAGGGGCCGAGTCGAGGAGTCCAGGAAAGCCAGGCTAACTCCGCGCCTTGCACGGCAGCCTGGACTTTTCCGAGGAGCACGCGCCGCAGGCCCTTTGTTGGAGCCGGGCAGCGGGGCCCCGCCCCCGCAGCATCTTGACGCCTGAAACTGACCCCTGCGCGAAGGAAAACGCGGCTTCCAAGTTTCGCGGCGCTTCTCGTCCCCCAAACCCTTGCTTTTAAGCCCTTGCTGTGTATTTGTCCGACGTTTACGAAGCACCAGGAACTATTTCCGACACGACAATACAGAACTGAAACAAAAAAACTCTGCTTGGCCGTTGACCCCTGGGGAATAGCTTAGGGATAATTGCACCTGCAGGTCCCAGGTGAGGAAACTGAGGTGCAAACGTCAGAGAATCGGTGTCCATATCAGAGCGTACCCCAATTTCATGGCGATAAGTAACGAGCCGCTGAAATGTGTTTAATACTATACTTGGGGAAGACTGAATAAATTCACATCCTACCGTCTGTTCCAATTGCATCTCTCAGCTGGCGAAAGCTTAAGCAACTGAGCCCTCTTAGTCTCAGGGATGAGAGGTACGGAGAAACAGATTACCCAATAAACGATATTCCCAGTTTGAGGAGTCCCCCCTGGCTTTTAGAGAATCAGGCTAAACACACGGCCAGAGGGACAATGACCTGGACCCAGCGCCTATTTGGAATTTAGGAGTATTTCGTGTTCTGGGCCTATAGGATGCAGGCACACCTAGGTCTACATTTCTAGTACTGCTCTTACTAGGACTAGGTATGCAGAGTGCATTTCCTCCTTTGAGGGAGTTTCTCAAAGGCACTCTGGGAAGTAGTTGAGATTATCCTATGTAACTCTCATGTCTAGTCCAACAAAAGCTCATTTTCTTCAGTTCCTAATCTCCTGAATCGTTAACCAATGGTTCCCCCCCCCCCCCGAATTGTCTGTTTTGTGGCTACATCAAGAGGGTTGCTGGCGAGTATGATTCGCCATTGTATCCCCGAGGGCTAACACAGTGCCTAGAATAGAGCTAGAACACAGGGAATGTTTACTAAATGAAAACAAACAAAAAGACCAAATTTTCCCAAACCTATCAACACGTGCATTATCCATAATTGTGAAAATACCCTGCCTTGTTTCTTTATTACTCCATTCATGAAAAAAATACAAATTAAAGAAAATGAATTCTTAGAAAAATAGCAGAATATGGAATTTTTTACTTTTCCATGTACTGCTATATTTTAAAAATTACAAACATCTAAATGTTAGATTCATATTTTAGTTTGACTTCAGTAAGTAGCATTCGGTATTGTTAATGCGCGTGTTTGAAAAAATCCTGGTCAAATACTAAGCATGTCTAAAGTATTTCTTAATTTTAAAGACTCTAGTCTTTAAGTCACAAGGAGGACTTATCCTGGCGAAGACTGGCCATTGACTTCCTTACCCCACAAAATGATTATCATTGCCATTTACCATGTAGAAATGGATTGCAAGAAAAAAGATGAGAGGGCTTGAGCTCTTCAAACTCCAATCTAATTCATCCTAAAGCCCTTTCTTAAAATATATGCAAGTATCCCCACCTTCAAAGGTTCATGTTAAGCCATTTGCCTTCTACGAAAGACGTACATTAGTACCTGTTTTCACTAACAGGAAGAAATCCAAAGAGGATTTCGCTTCTGTGAAAGAAGGTGAAAAGCAAAGATAGTATTCAGTGCTTGTTTTGCACAAGTCATTGTAGAGGCAGAATGCACCCCAAGCAGGGAGAGTGGTCCTGCTAAGCTCCTTCCCTGAAAACTGTACTCAGCATCTCGGTATTAGGTTGCCATAGCTTTGAATTGTTTCTGTGAGCATCTGTGTTTTGTCTTGATTTATTTTGTGCATCTGTTAGCAAGATGTGTCCTAAGGTATCATAAAAGCCCAAGAGAGGCTGTTTTTTGGGTCTAGGAATGCTCAAAAAGTTTTCCGTATAAATAAAGGATAATTGTGTCTTCACTTTACGCCATTTTGCTTTCATAGAAACACTTTACATTCTGATAGCAGGGGAAACCTGTATATGTATATTCACCCCTGGAAAATAATTCCTAACGAACAGGTATGGTCTCCAACCTCTGAAGATTGGATACGTACTTACAGATGCATCCTGGGATTTCCTAGAATTCTGTGCGGGCATGGCTCCCAAAACTGCTCATCATTTTCATCCAAGGAAAGCAGGAGCAGCTGGTAATTCTTGGTATTGTGCTAAATAAATCTAGAGAGAATGATTTAGAACAAACAAGCTCTATGTTGTTTTAATAATCATAACTAGAGAGGGGTGCGGGGTGGCTCAGTCAGTTAAGTTCTGACTTCAGCTCAGGTCATAACCTCGCGGCTCATGGGTTCGATCCCCACGTCGGGCTCTGTGCTGACAGCTCAGAGCTGGAGCCTGCTTTGAATTCTCTCTCTCTCTCTCTCTCTCTCTCTCTCTCTCTCTCTCTCTCCCTCTCTCAAAAATAAAATAAAACTTTAAAAAAAAATTTTAAATAGTCATAACTAGAGACCAGCTTGGTTCAGATGCACATAATCTTTCATTCCCTCACTCACTTGTTAATTCCCATACTCACTTAGCACATATTTTCTAAGCACGCGCTATGACAGACAAAGTGCTACATTATGAGTTTCCAGTGTTGGCCAAAATGAAGTTTACACTAAGGTTTTCTTTCATGTGATGTTAAATAATTTCTTTCACTATCATTTCCTTTGTAAGAAAATGTCATTTTTTTTTAATTTGAGAATAAGTGGAACAAACAAAAACTGAATTGTGATCTAATTGTTGACAGCAATCATTTTTAAGCAATGACTGTCTCGATCATGAAAATAAAAGCCACTCTGTTCCTAGTATGAAGGGCCTTAGAACTTCCACAACTTTCGGAAGGGCTGAAGCGTTGCGGGGGTGAGAGGGAAAATCCGAGAGGCTCCATTGAAGATCTCAGAATCCAGCCTGAAAGCCAGTGATTCTTGGGAACTCTTGCAAAGTCACTGGAGTCACAAGATCTCTAGGAGGTGCTCAACCATTCAAGGCTACAGCCAGGTTTGGGGAGACGTAAAGCTTACGCAATTTAGACAGCTCTCTTTAAGAAAAAAATAATGAACGCGAATTTGCTAAAGCCACCCTCAGTATCTTAGAATGGGCCCATGCAAGAAAGGAGCCCTTCGGTCTCGACTTTATTAGCTTCAAAGTGTGTCCACCCATACTACCTGTCTTAATCAGCAACATAGATGCTGGAGTTCAAGTTTAGGTGTAAGCAGCTTTGAACTTCCATCTGTCCATGCATCTTCCTGTAACTAACTTTGGAAAACAGTGGCATCTTTCTCTTCTGCCTTCTCAGTCTTGAACTAAATCTTGAACTAGTCTCGTTGACAGATTCCAACCTGGAACCATTCAGAGAAGGAAATTCTGGGAAATGTAGTTCCTGCCTTTGAAAAGGCTCAGAATAATGCTGGGTTGCCAAGAGACTATCCCGCATATCACCCTAGGGAGGAAAATACGATCAATTGACTAAAGGAGATTAAGGAGAGTTTAAGCCATTCAAGGAACTAGAGCTTTAAAGTATGTAAGCATTGATATATTAGCACATCTGACACCAGAAAAACAGTGAAGTGCTCATCTAAACCTGATGAGGGGGGGAAATGGTCAGTTTGGAATAAAAAAGTAGATGAATCAGAGAGCAAAGATTCTTCTTTTTTTAAAATTTTTATTCATTTTTTGAGAGACAGAGAGAGACACAACATGAGCAGAAGAGGGGCAGAGAGCGAGGGAGACACAGAATCCGAAGCAGGCTCCAGGCTCCGAGCTGTCAGCACAGAGCCCGATGCGGGGCTCAAACCCACGAACGGTGAGATCATGACCTGAGCTGAAGTTGGCCATTTAACCAACTGAGTCACCCAGGCTCTCTGAGAGCAAAGATTCTTCTTGGTTTCCAGCAGTGTTCTCCTTCCAGGGGAGGAGATACCCTGACTCCCTTTGGCATTCACTAATACCTTCATACATTTACTGACTGTTCCCATTAGGAGCTAGGGTGCAAATCAAGACCACAAGCGCCCCTGTATTCAAGGAGCTGTTGGGCTAGACCAGCACTGTACCACTGAAATATAATTTGAGCCCCAAATATGAGGCATGTATATTTTTTAAGTTTTCTGGCAGCCACACACACACAAAAAAAGCAAGTAAAAAGAAACATTAGATTGATGTTAATACATTTTACTTAACCTGATATATCCAAAATATGTATTTTTATTTCAACATTTAACCAACATAACATTATTAATTCTCTATTTTACTCTTTCCCCCCCCCCCCTTTGTTACTGTCTTCAAACTATGGTGTGTATTTTAAACTCAAAGCACTTCTCAATTTGGACTTGCCTCAGTTAAAGTACTCAGGGTGGGGGTGCCCAGGTGGCTCAGTTGGTTAATCATCCAACTTTGGCTCAGGTCATGATCTCACAATTTGTGAGTTCAAGCCCCACAAGGGGCTGTCTGCTGTCTCCCTTTCTCTGCCCCCACCACAAAAGAAATAAATTGACATTTAAAAAAACAATAAAGTACTCAGTGTAGTTGGCGGATACAAGTATTCTAGGCAAGGAGAAGTTTTTCTTTTTTTTTTTTTTAAGTTTATTTATTTAACTTTTGTAATCTCTACACCCAATGTGAGACTCAAACTCACGACCCTGAGATCAAGAGTTGCATGCTTTTCTGACTGAGCCAACCAGGTGCCCCTAGACAAGGAGAAGTTTAGCCTGAATAATTCTCCAGAAGGCTAGTATAAAAAAATCCTGGCCTTGAACTCTGGATCATGCATCTGTCTGTGGTAACCCATTAA